CCATTCCACTCTTGGGCTGAGTGCCACTTTCTGGTAAATAATATTAGGCAAAAAAGATAGTCTCCCTAAGCCCCAGTTTCCTCATCAAAATGAAAAATGGAAATGACAGCAGTTTATATATATATATTTTTTTTTTTTTTTGCAGCAACTCACAAATTATATAGTTGATCCCATCTCCTTTTAATCAAAGTCACTGACTCCCCAGAGGGAAGAAGACATCGAATCACAGCCTCCTCAGCAGAAGAGGAGACTAGAATTTCTCTCTAATACCCCAGCTGACTGGGTTGTGGGGTCAACTAAATTAGAGGGTGCTTTTCATTCAGAGCTATTGTACCATAACCTGTACTCTGTGTCTTTTTTTTTTTTTTTTAAATTTTTTAGTTGTCAGAGGGCATGTGCAAAAGAGAGAGAGAGAAAGAGACCCTCCCAATGGGCCATGGTCACACTTCAGTCCTTTCTCCTCCATTCTTCTGTCCCATCAGGATTTTGAACACACATATGTGCCTGGTGCGTTTTTCATACTAGCAGGGCTGGGATTTGAACTGCAGTTGTCCGTATGGAATCTGGTTCCCTATGCACAAGACTCAGTCACTGAGCTATAAGGCTGTCCAATCTCTTCTCTTTGTGACACTTTCAAAGATGATGACATGCACCTTTTGACACGCATTCAAAGATGCCCCCAAGATCCCATCAAAGTAATGTCTACTCTCAGGTGGAAACCTCTTTGGCTTTATGCATATGAGAACTCTTCCAAAAGTTCATGACAAATGCAAATTATGAAAATCTATGCATGAATTTAAAAAAAATTTAATCAAAATAAACTCTCACTTCAATTCCATTCTCCATAAACTTTCTGTAATTCCCTTATGTATGAGTTGGGGGAGCCTGTGGAATTTCCCCTCCAACTCTGTGGGTTTGGTAGAGGATTTTGTGGATAAGATCAGGGCTCTGTTCAGCTGCAGTCAAAACAGTAATCTGTTGATCTTGAAGAAACAGAAGAGAGTCAGGAAGAAAAACATATAAAGTCACTAAACTATCACTTTGGTGGTGTTTCCAAATTGTGAAAACCACTGTGAAGTCTGTGTTGCTCACTTGGGGGCTTATAGAGAGAGTTGGGAAGGAATTTCTCAGTGGGATGGCGGAGGATGTAGCCAGTAAATGATGCAGCCAACAATGTTGCCCTTGGAGCTGACACACTTGAATCCTGTTTGCTCAGGTGCAGCGCGTGTGTGCAGATCTGCCCACTCAGCTGCTCTGCCGCAAGGCTCTGGCAGGCCAGCCAGGTGTGCCCTTGGCTGGTGGATCTCGCCTCCAAGAGGCTGCCCCTCTCCCAAAGCTAGGTGTGGGGGTAGCCAGAGAAGGAGACTCTGGCCTCTTCCAGTGAAATGAGGTGCCTGGAATAACAAAGGAAAGAAATCAAAAGGAATCCACAGCCTGGGAGTTCCAACCAAGCCTAGAAGTGGTGAAAGCGAAAAAGAAAACTTAGCTGGAGTTCAAACTGTGTCTAGGGTTATGACAGTTAATAAATCAGCAAGTCTGGAAAACATTAAGTCTCAACAATACAATTAGGAAGTTGCAACACTGCTGTTAAACTAGAATTATTAAAAAAAATAGTAATGGGTAACATGTGTGTCTCTACTTGGTGGATACTTCATATTATTCATTAATAAAGCTTGCCTTTTCCAGGAGACAGTGTGGTAAATATTGGTTGATAAATTGATAGATATTGGTTCTGCCATAGGCTAGCTATAGGTGACTTTGGGTGGGTTATTTAAAATCTCTGAGCCTCAGTTTATCCATCTGTACATTGGATTTAATAATAACTCCTTCTGTCGGTGGTGGTTTTCAAATATTTTGGCAGCAATTTAGAGTAAGAAATATCATTGAAAACATGTTGCAGTACACTAGATATACCTGCAATGTGTCACCAAAACGAAGCTTTCATAAATGAATATGTCCTATTACTGCATTTGGTACATTTTTGTGTTTTTATTTTAATTTTTATTTTATTATATATTTTTGGAGACGTTTTTGCTATATGGTGCGTGCACTCATCAGAAAGACAGAGAGACAGAAAGCAATAAATCACCCCCGCCTCCAGAGGGGATGGCCACAACGCAATCCCTTCTCTTCCATTCTTCCCTCGGGATCTTGGGCACACAAGCACACGCGCCCGGCATGAGTTTAAGCCACCAGGTCCAGGACTCGAACTGTGGTCGACTACATGGGAGTCTAGCAACATAGCCATTACACCAACTGCTGGTCCTACACTTTCATGTTTTTAGTTTTCCAGTTTTTTATACATAAAATACTAAGTAATACTGCTTGTGACCCACTAAAGTGAATTTGTAGCAATGTTTCAAAAATACTATGGTAGATGGGACCAGCAGTTAGCATAATGGCTATGTTGCTGGACTCCCATGTAGTTGACCACGGTTCACGTCCCGGACCGGGTGGCTTAAAACTCACACCGGGCGTGTGTGCATGCGTGCCCAAGATCCCAAGAGGAGAATGAAGGAGAAGGGATTGCGGTGTGGCCATCCCCCTGGGGGTGATTTCTCGCTTTCTGTCTCTCTGTCTCTCCCTGTCTGTCTGGCGAGCACACGCACCCTATAGCAAAAAAAAAAAAAAAAAAAAAAAAGCTCTTAAAAAAAATACTGTGGTAGCTTAATCTGCCCATTAAAAAAAATTACATACATAAAGAACTTGGTTCACAAAAAGTAGTCAGTAAATAGA